CCACGTCTGCCAGCCCCCCAGGGTCACCCAGCCCGGGAGGCCACGGCCAAACCCAGGAGGCCCCACGCCGCCCACGCCCCACTCACCGTGCTCACGGGACTTGTGGACGAAGGCCTCCACCCCACTCTCGCCATAGCTGCCCTCCGAGGCCAGCGTGGACACGTAGTTCCACTTGAGGGCATGGACGATGTCCAGCATGGCCTGCGCCTGGTACGTGTCCGAGGGCACCACGCGGGAGAAGAAGTCGTAACGGCTGTTGTCGCTCAGGTCAGGGGCTGTGGAGGCGTAGCTGATCTGGGGGATCTGGGGGCGAGAGGGACGGCTGAGCCAGCAGCCACCCTGCACACCACCCCGTCCCGCCAGCTCGCAGGGCCCACACCACCCGAGCGAGGCCTCCTCGCGACCCTCTGGAGTGGGGGTCCCTGGGAGGCGGCAGACACAGCCCCCGGGCCAAGTGGGATGGGCAGCCCAGATCCTGTCCACCCCAGTGTAAGGCTGGCCTTGGACCGACCGTCCCCAAAGACACGCACACTCGTGCACACGCACGCACACGCATGCACAGACCAAGCCGGCGGATGGCGCAGCCTGCAGTTTCTGGCAGGGGTGGGTGTCAGGGCCCGGGGGTCGTCTGTGACCCTCCGTCCGCAGGAAGTCCCTCTGTCACTACAGAGCAAGCCCTGTCCCCACGGCTCCCTCTGGGCTCGGCGCCTCCATCCCATGCAGCTCAGAGAAGACAGAGCCCGGCACAGCCACCCCCCGGGGCCCACCGAGGGGCCTGAGACTCGGGCTGCCAGGGCTGCAGCTCTGAGGCCCCAGCCCGCTGCCCTGGGGCCGGCCAGGCCCTGTGTCTCCCTCCCCTCTGCCCACACTGATGCCCACTCTTCCTACGCTCACATCCTCTCCCTAGAAACTTGGGGGGTTGGTGCAGCTGAGGAAGGGGACTGCGGGGGGCTGTGGGATGCCGGCAGGTGGACATGGATGGAGGAGGCAGCCCCCAACTCTGCTCCGCCCCAGGCCTCGCTAAGGAGGCAGTGGACTCACGTGGACGGCGGGGCTGGGGCAACAGGGATATCGGAACCTGGGAGCGACTCACAACATCCGGGGACCAATTACACGTCGTAACGAAGGCCAGTGACTGCTGGAGATGGGTCCGGGGGAGGCCAAGGTGGGACACACAGGTGTGTGGCTCCCTGCAGGGTCTGAGGCACACTGGTGGCCACAGGGGCCATGGGTGTCAGTGGGCAGGAGTGGGGACACTGGGGTTGGAAGCCACCATGCCTCGGAAGCTGTGGCCACTCAGGGTGGCATGGGGCCCTGGCCAGGGAGACGGAGGGAGGGAGGGGAGAGGCTAGGGACAGAGGGCAGGAGCCCTCACAGGAAGCCCCCAAGGGGTGGGAGAGATCAGGAGTGCAGGGAAGCGGGCGAGGGTGGGGCCTAGCAGGGGACCCCTCAGGACTGTGGGCACCAGGGGAGGGCCGGGAAGGCTGCAGTGTGGGCAGGCTCTCCCAAAAGTTGGGGGCATGAGGAAGGGCACTGTCTGCCCCGATAGGGGTCCCCCCGGGTCCACATGCTGAGGGCCCATCCCCTCCCAAAGAGCTGGCAACTTCCCCTCAGCCCCGGGGTCCATGCGGTCCAGTGCAAGGGACCCACGAGGCCCCTCCACCTCGGTGGTTCCTGAGGCCACTAGGCCCCCACCCCCACCCTCAGGGTCCCCGCACCCCTCGGGAGCCTTATCACCCCTCAGCAGTGATTCACTGAGCACCTACTGTGTGCCCTGCACTATTGTAGGCACAATCCAGAGCTTTGGTGGAGTGGATTCTCACGGCAGGCGCCTGCCTTCCTGACACACGGCGACATCTCACCTCTGGCAAATCCTGCCTATGTGCATCCCCAGCGCCACAGCCTGGGCCTGCAGCGGCCTGCTGCTGTGTCCCTGGGACGGCCAGGAGGAGGGACGCCGGGCTGAGCAGAACAGAACTGAATCCAACCCAGGCATGGGCAGTCAGCAGCCGAGGTACAACAGACATTTCCCAGGCGTTTCCCGTGCGCTGGGAGCTGTCCTAAGGGACTTTCCTGAGCACCTTGAACCCTATAGAGACCTGGATGTAGGTCTTATTTGCCTCATTTTTCTAGAACGAAGGTACAGAGAGGTTCAGGAACTCACCCAAGGTCACACAGCGAGTGAGTGGCTGAGATAGAGTTTGAACCCAGGGGATGCACTCCAACGTCATTAACTGGCAGGGAAACCTCCGTCCCTACGCAGGTGGCCCCCACACACAATGTGGCCCCAGCATGTAGAATCTGAAGGTGAGGCGAGGCTGTGGTCTCCACTCCCCAGGCCCACCCATGTCTCCGGGGGACAGGACCAGCCAGCACCCACCCAGCTTCCTCTCCTGGCTGTCAGCTGTGAGCTGCAGCGGCCTCTGAGCCCAACACGAAGCACAGGGCGGGGTGGGGCCGGGCCCCAGAGGCTGTATAAATGGCTCTGCTTCCAGCAGCAGCTGATTTCTAGACACGATGAATCATTTCATGCTCACCAGATGCTCACCTCCGTCTCTCCGATGGGCGAGACCGATTTAATTCGGAATCCTGTCCCACGCCTCTGAACCCGAGCGCCCCACGACGGTAGCGGTCCGGCCTCCCTGGCCACAGTGCCGGGCCCCTTCCGGCTCCGTATAAATGGCTCTGCTTCCAGCAGCAGCTGATTTCTAGACACGATGAATCATTTCATGCTCACCAGATGCTCACCTCCGTCTCTCCGATGGGCGAGACCGATTTAATTCGGAATCCTGTCCCACGCCTCTGAACCCGAGCGCCCCACGACGGTAGCGGTCCGGCCTCCCTGGCCACAGTGCCGGGCCCCTTCCGGCTCCGCGGTCTCTAAGCCGCCGCCCCCCACAGCCACGTCACTTCCTCACGCGGTCTCCACCTTCTCAGCCCATTTACCACCCACTTCCCCAAAACACTGGCTCCAGGGCAGCGACGGGAGGGGACAGGGCCGCGTGCCGCAGGCAGCTCGGGCGGACAGGGGAACAGCTCCCTTCGCCCTGCCGAGAGGAGCGGTCACCACGCGGGGTAAGCGGCACCCCGGGCAGCACCGAAGTCTCCCTCCTCCCTCCCAGGATCTGGCCACCTCGCCACCCGGGCCTCTGCGCTGTGTCCCCGACCTGTCGGTGGCATCCCTGAAGGCGTCCGGCCTCTTGTCAGGGGCCCAACCAACCCGTTCTGAGTTACGTCTCCCCGGACAGAGCCAGACGGATGGGCCCCCAGCCTCTGAACGAGTCCTCCCCGGGAGGTGCTTTCCGGGGTCCTCGACCCCCCTTTAACGGCCTTGTATCCTTGGCCGAAGAAGCCCCCCTCAGCCAAGGCTGCAGGAGAAAGGGGGAACAGGGTGGTCGGGACACAGGAGTGGGGTGCAGGCGCTGGGCAGGCGGGGAGCAAACGAGATCCCCAAATCAGCACTCGTCCTGTTAACAGGCGAAGTGTAGATCGATAAATTACACTCCCTTGTGCAGGTTTTACTTGCTGACGCCAGCACCTTGCCAAGAGTGACACACGCAGGCTCGAGAGGGTGGCGGCCGGCAGGGCCCAGGCCGGGTGGGACGCAGGGACCAACCTCGGCCTCAGGCACGGCGGCCACACCCCCCACAAGCTTCCAGCTTCACCGCCTGTCAAGCGGGCACCTCAGCGAGGATCTGAGCTCTGTCAAGTTCACCGCGAGGGTCCCACGGGAGAACGGGGGTGCAGAGCTCTCGAGGAAGACAGGAAGTCACCTTCGTCCCTCACACACGCACGCACACGCACACGCACGCACACACACACGGGGCAGCAGTCTCCAGGGCAGGTCTCGAGCCAGGGGCCAGGCGGATTTGAACCCACATTTGTGTGAGCACTTGAGACCCTGTTCCCCACCTGGCACCACAGCCCAGACGCCACCAGGGAGGAGCAGGGGTCCTCGCTCCTGAGCTCCCCACCCCCTCAGTTTGAAGCACGCTGCTTCAGGCCCCCGTGCCTCAGTTTCTCCCTCTGTTCCCGGGGGCCCAGCTCCCAAGTAAGGGGCCCGTGCATCCGAAAGCCTCTCCCACAGAGCAGCTGCCCACTCACAGACAGACCGGCTCAGGACGGCCGGGGCGGGTGGCTGGAGGGACTAACGCTCCGGGGCAAGCTCACGTGTGTGCGGTGATACACGGCGCTGTGTTCGCAGGAGAGGCTGTAACGGGACGGGCTAGCGCTACTGAACACGAGCCGAGAGAAGTCACGTCGACACTGCGCTCACTCACAGCACAGCGGGGCCGGGCCAGGCGGCCACCCAGGCAGGCAGGGAGGAGGCCCCGCTGGCTCCAGGGGCTGCGCAGGGGAGCCCCTGGCACGGGCACCTGCTCCGAGTGCATCTGCCCTGCGCGGTGCCCTCCTGTCTCAGGCAGCCCTGCTCCGCACGCAGACGCCAGGGCAGCCCCAGAGCCGAGCTCGTGCACGGGGCCACAGCATTCGGCCTGCAGCCTTTCTCCCCGCCCAGACCACACTGACCAGCACACCCCGCTGGCTCTGCTCTGAGACTAAATCCAGACCCCGCCAGGACCGACAGCGCCCAGCCTGCCCTGCCTCCCCGAAGCCTCCCCGGACTTCAGACACACTCGGCCCACCACTCCCGTGTGCCCTGCAGCGGTTCCAGACTCCCTCCTTCGTGAGTGTTTTTACAAGATGTGATCAAAAGTACTGAGGATGTGGCTGCCGAGTGCCGTCCGATGGAAAAGCGGGCTGTGACGACATCACGGTGTCCTCGTCCACCTCATTCACTGGACCTGGCCCCGTGTGACTCCTGACTCCTCCCCGAAGTCAAACTGACCCTGGAAGGTGAATGTTTTGAATCGGTTCGGGACACTGAGGCAGCCACAGCAGCACAGCCAAAGACGGGAAAGAGGACTTCACAACCACGGCGGACAGTGGCAGCGACAGTGGGCAGGTGTGTCTGAAGTGAGGGGAGGGTTTTGAGGGGAATTCGCGGCGATATGCGTTTTACTGTAATAAACTCTGTCGACTTAAACATTCACCGTGTTTCTTTGCTCACACCTCGTGAGCATCCTCAGTGCATCTGCACCCTGGTAGGCGCTGGAATGCCACAGCAAGCAGGAGCAGACAAATCCCCATCCTGGCAGAGCCGAGTCCAGGGAGACAGAGCCCCAGCCCCTTACACAACACCACACAATCACGGCCCTGGAAGAGCTGGGGCTGGGAGAGCTGGAGCGAGAGTGTGGATCAGCCAGGGTGGCCAAGAAGGGGACATCAAGCTGATAGCTGAACAA